TCTCTTTGTTCGTCTCTCTGTCTTTCTTTATCCCTCACCTACTTCACTCTATCTTTCTCTCGTTCCCTCTTGTCAACTGGGGCATGTGATACATGCAAGCACTAGCACTTTCCCCAGTTCTCTTCCCCCTCCTTTCTCTCTCTCTCTCTCCCGCGTCTGGGTGCTGAAACTTTCCGAAATCAAAAAAGGTTTGCCCTACCGGATCTGTATACTTCGTGACTTTGTTCCCGGTTACTGGGTCTGTATACACTCCGATAAAAAAAAACTTTTTTTCGACCTGAGTCCATGTATAGATCTAAACCCATAGTCGGACTCGAGTCCGAATAGATAAAAATTATATTTGGACTCGAGTCCGAATAGAGCTGGCCAGCACGCTTCACGGTGGAAGTAGGTCAGCCCTATATATAGCTATAGGAGGGCCTGCGTGCTTTCCAGGTAACCTGGCTCATGCCCTTTATACAGGGCCTGCGCGCTTCCAGGGTTCATTAAGAGTCAAGGTAGATCTAATGTGTAGTTTAGTCTCTTAGAGTCACTTACTTAGAATCTTGTCTAGACTAGAGGTCTAAATTGTAACAACAGACAACAGATCTTACTTTCTGTACTTCTTCCCAATCTAAGCACATCGTCTGGCGATATAATGTCTTTTTTCAATAGCTCTTCCTCGGAAACAACATCTGTTTTGGACTTGGCTTGTCTCCGCAAAAATCCTTCTTTCTTCTTTGACGACGGTTTGGCATCCGAACTCATCTTGGCTCTTACTCTTGGTTAGAAGTGATCGACGTCCGTTCCTGCGCTATTGATATCTATTCGAAAAGCAAAATAGGTGAAGTGGCCTTTTTAAGTGGAGTTCAGATCAACTGAAGAATAATAATTTCACCAGTATATTACTTTCACAACACGGTGGATAATCTCAGGAGTTAAATTTCAAGCAGCACTCTTTGTTTACAATTCGTCTCGTACACCTTTGGTTGGCTTTGTCACCTGTCAAAGCGTCAATCATGGCGGCGTTGACGATAGGAATTTTGGGACACACAAGGGACGTCACTCACATGGAAAATTAAGCCAACTTGTAAACAACAGGGGACAGCTAGGCCTACAAGAGTAGATATTAGTATTAGATTCTAGGTCTATCTACTCCATTCTAGAAATCTAGAATCTAGATTCTAGGTCTACAATCTATGCTAGGCTAGGAAGTAAAGTGCGGTTGGCGGTGAGACACCGGTTCGATTAGAGTTGAGCATATGACTTGAAGGACCTGACTTGAATCATGCGTTTTTCCGCTGAAGACTGAGAGGGTGTAACCTTCTTTTAACAATTTATAGGTATCAATGGAATTATATGGTTCTCTTCCAGCCTGTCCATGGTGATACACAGACCCTCCCTCTTGGGTGCAAAATACATGACACAACACTGCAAAATGTTGACGATAACTCGTAACTCGTAACTTCAATTCTTGGGGCATTGATGCAGAAATATCTTTTGGCCCTACAAGATAAAGCCAGTCATCTTTTTGAAGACTCACAGTGAGTGAGGATTGGGACTGCTGTGGTATTTCTACGGAGACAAAGTTTAAAGTCTAAAATGTTATTGTCCTCCTGACCCTGCTCCTGTTGTATGATGTTGAGACCTGGACAGTGTACCAAATTCATGCCCGGAACCTCAATCTTTTACTTACAACAAAATAAGTTAGTTAGTTAGTGAAAAAGAAGTATCAAGTTCAAACTATACTTTATTATTGTTTTACTTGTTTGTTATGAAGTAGACTGAGTTAGCATGCACCCCCTGGGGCAGTGCCACTGACTGTAGTGTCTTTAGGCCATTCCCAATTGGGGGGGGGGGACATTTCTCGTTCAAGCATAGTAGAATTGTAAATGGGCTGACTCATGTCACGCTCAAAACTGTGCCTGATCTACAACAGGGAACTGCTGCTTTTTCTTTCCTGATCCTTACTATTGTCATTTTCCTCTACTTCTTTTGTATACTTTCTTGTGACCTGCTATTTCCGGGGTGTCTTGATAGTCAAAGCAGACCTTTCCGTGCTGTTGAAGCTAGAGAGGTGAGCAGTCTAAGTCTGATTCCCTGTAAAGACTT